GGCTGAATACGCTCTCCGGGGCCCCAGCTGCTCTGAAACGCGGCTTCGACGGCACAGCGAGGGTTCTCCCGTGCCCTCCAGCCCCACCTGGGCTGACTGGCTTGGTCTGCCACTGCTGTGGCACTCTGCTCAACCCTAAGCCCTGACACTGGTCACTGACACATGCCCCCAGTCACTTCTGGAATTCCCGGGAGAGCACGGAGCCAGATAGACTTGCACTCCCAGTGGCAGCTTTCCAGAAGCTGAGCCTGCCCAGCTCCGGGTCACAGCCGAGAGCCGAGGGGCGGCCTGGGCCCTCGCCCGCTGGGACCCGTGCGGTCTCTCCTGCCAGGTGTCCTGTCCGTCTGCCTGGAGCCGTCGAGTGCAAAGACAGCAGAGGGTCTGGGCCACTCCTGCCACATGCAGCTGGCTGCGACCTGCCTGAGTCGCTCCCCACGGGGCCAGTCCTCACGAGACCGGGCAGCACGGCCCGGTGCCTGGCGCTGGGGAGCCGCGCCTCGCTCCGATGCAGGGAGCTCGAGGGTCCCAGGCGGCCGAGCCCCATCTTCTCTGAGCCACTGCCCTTCCCGACACTGAGGGGCTCTCCCCGGGTGTCCCCTTTGGTGTCCCCTGCTGCCATCCGAGGGGACCCCTCCTGCCTGGCGTCTGCCCCAATGGAGAGCCATGTGGTTCTTTTTCCTTTACCTCAGGAAAGAAGTAAGGTGACCCACGGCCTCTTCCCAGCTCCATGGCACGGGCTCTGGGGTGGCGTGGGGCTCACACTACACTCAGCTGGCTGGCCACACCACGGCTGGGCCAGGGACAGCCCTCCGGCGCCTAGTCGGCTGGCCACACCACAGTCGGGCTGAGGACGCCCCTCGCCCCTTTCTGGAGCTGCTCTCCCAATCCTGTGCTTCCTGCTCTCGAGAGTACCCGCCATGCGCCAAGATGGAGAAGGGGGGGCCCAGGCTCTGCCAAGGCCCAGGCTAGCACTTCTGAGCCGAGGCCTCCGGAGGCCACGTGGCCAGGGCAGCGGGCTCTCAGGGACTGTGCCCCGCCTGCTTCTCGCCACACAGATGTTCACTGAGGCTGGGGCCGGTGCTCCCGTCCTGCCCAGGAGAGAGAAAGCTGGGGGGCGGCTGCCCAGCTGGTGAGGAGGTGCTGGGAGGCCCCTCAGAGGGCGGAGGGCAGGGGCCGAGGGCTGCCAGGAGCTCAGGAACACAGGCTGAGTCGTGGGAGGCTGGGGTGCACAGGTTCAGCCGCCGAGGCCAGAGGTGCTGACGTGGCCAAGGGTGCGGGGAACTCGGCCAGGCGTGACGGGACAGCCCTGCTCCGGGCTCACAACACAGGCTCCCAGACATCGGGGGGCTGGACAGCGCAACCTCAGCGGTCAGGACGGTGGGGACCCGGAGGGCCAGGGGTAGGAGACACCCGCCTCCTGCCAGTTAGGGGACGGCCGCCCTGCCACGCACAAGACAGGGACCTGCCCACAAAGGCCTCAGGTCTGCGTGTCTGTGCCGGGGGAGCAGCTGGGCTGTGAGGGCCCGGGCTCAGGGGAGACCTGCACACACGCCCTGACGCCCGCCCGCCTCCTGACGCCTGCACACACAAACACGACACCCACACGCCGCCTGACACCTGCACACGCACCCTGACGCCCACCTGCCTCTGTGACACCTGCACACACAGACATGACACCCGCACACCGCCTGACACCTGCACACGCACCCTGACGCCCACCCGCCTCCGTGACACCTGCACACGCAGACACGACACCTGCACGCCGCCTGACACCTGCACACGCACCGACGCCCAACCGCCTCCGTGACACCTGCACACGCAGACACGACACCCGCACGCCGCCTGACACCTGCACACGTGCCCTGACACCCGCACGCCTCCCTGAGATGGGCAGTGAGGCCAAGGGCAGAGGCAGGGCTAGGCCCGAACCCTCACTGTTTGGGGCCCCATGGCGTCAGGCCAGGCCTCAGAGAACGTCTGGCCCCGCCAGCCCCACCTCTTCCTCCGAGACAGCCCAGAGCATGGCTCACTGTGGCCCATCCCTGAGGGCCACACACTGCCCGCTGCCGGAGGCCGTGGCCCTGGCCTCTGTAGGCCCCTGCCCCCATCAGGAGGCTGCCCGCCCAGTGCCCACCTGGAGTAGTCGTGCAGCACCTCCAGGCTCCGGGTGTCTAGCAGCAGCCCACACCAGGGGAAGCGGCAGTGGGCTGGCAGCTGGCGCACGGCCGAGCCGCCCAGGCTGTCGTCCACGGGGAAGTTCACCACCGTCTTCCCCAGGTTTATCAAGCAGCCATACTCGGGGACACCTCGTACCAGGGCCCTGTGGAAAGGCCTCGTGAGCCGTGGGTGAGGGCTCCCTGAGCAGCACCATGTTCACCCAGGGGCACCCCCAGGAGCAGAGCGGGCTGGTTGGCACACGTCCACTGGCTGGTCAGCGCTGCCTGCTCCCCTCTGCTGGGTGCCCGCCCGGATGCAGACCGGCCTGGAGCCAGCCAGACGGCAGACGGGCAGCAGAGGCCCAGTGGGCAGAGCTGCATCAGCGCTCACAGGCCCGCCGCAGAGGGGGCCACCACAGAGCGGGACAGCTCCCATGCGGGCCCCAGAGGCACGTGGAGCTCACATGGGGCCTTACCCGAGGAAGGCTTTCGCGTGGGCCAGGTGAGGCGTCACCAGCAGGAAGTCATCCAGGAGCCGCAGAAGTACCCTGAGAGGAAGGACAGGGTCGGCCCTCCAGCACCCCTGCAACCAGGTGCTGGCGTGCCCCGAGGCCAGGGTGGGGCTCGCCAGGCCCCCTTGCCTCCAGCGCATGTGCTTGCGGCACCTGCTGGGGACAGGTACGGAGGCAGCGGCCATGCCTGGACTCAGGCCATGACCCACTTAAGGTGCTGGCCCCAGGCGGCTGCTGGGCGTGCCATCAGCCGGAGGGGCATCGTCGCGTCCACGAGCTGAGCTGGCGGGGTGCGGTTTCTCTCTCTTACGTGAGTCTGTCTGCAACTGGAACCCAAACCTCAATTAAGAGCACCCCGGGGGACAGACCGTGTGCTGCACAGACTTCAGGAAGAGCCCAGAGATGCACACACAGCACCTGCTCCCCTGGGGCGCCCCTCTTCAGGAGACGTCACTTCCGTATTATGAGGTAGACAGACGCCAACCCGCGTCTGCTGAGTGGCCGTGCTGTGTGGACGACCCTGCAGTAAACCTGACTCGGGTCAAATGGGCAGGGGGCTGGGACAGGCACCCGGCGAAGAGGAGCTCTCTGGCAGGGCCCCGCGGGCGCTGGCTGAAGGCTGGAGAGGGGAGGTTGGGGGGAGAGCTCGCGGCGCTCTTCAGCACAACCTCAGACCCGCCACGCAGAGCAGCCTTCCCCCTGCCCGAGGGCCGCAGTCCCGCCCTGAGCACACGGCCACCCCCATCCAAGCAGGACCCACACACTCCACGCAGCCTGCACACAGCCCATCATGGCATCCCATGATGGAGGCCAGAGCCCCGCCGGCTCCCCCAGGACCTCCCCGAAAACTGCACACACAGCCCTGCCACCACGGTAATGCCTGGGTCACCTGAGACCCCGCGGACACGGCGCCCTCACCCGTCCTGCTGTATCCCCGGGAACAGCCGGCGCTCCATGTCTCCGTAGCACAGGCTGCACAGCAGTGGGGACAGCGCGGAGCCCTGTGGGATCCCTCCACACTGCACGTAGGACCTGCAGGGGCGAGCAGTGCACGGGCCATCGGCTTCACACGCACACATGCCATGCACACGCCTGCGTACAGTGTGCTCACACACCTGTGCACCACGCTGCACGTGCACATCCACTCCCACAGGTGCACACAGACACGTGCCATACGCAGGCCACGTGCACAGTGAAACACAGACCATGTACCACACAGACCGCAGGTGTGTGAACATAGATCAGACACATACAAGCAGCGCGTGTACACACACTAGACACACCCAGGTACACGGACCACAGCACGTAGCACTGTGAACCTGCGTGTCCAGGACCCACAAATGTCAGAGCGCTTCACACACAGCCCCTGCCCCTCGCGGACTGGGCGGGAGGAGGGTGCCGTTCAAAGGACGCACCCTGCCCTCTAGGGATGTGCCGGCTTTGTGCCATGAGTCAGGCGAGCAGAACCGCCAGACGCCTGCGCTGACTGGATGGCACCTGGACTGTCCTTGGGGACAACCGTCCACATGTGATGGGCCATGCCAAGCCGCCACGTCTCGGATGTGCTGGGGTCAGACATGCTGTGGCCCTCCATGGAAGGCAGCGGCCATGCGGGCGTCCTGAGTGACGTGGTGAGGACGGCTTGCAGAACGACAGGTGCCGGAGCAGCTGCAGCCAGCCTGGCCGCAACCAGCACAGACGGCCCCCCAGGACAGACGGCCACGTGCGCAGCACCCGAAGCACGTCCAAGTCCCAGGTTTGTTCCCAGTGGCTGAGGCGCCCCTGGCCAGGTGGAGGCCGTGGCCCACTCCCAGCCACGGAGCCACAGCACGTGAGGACGCAGGGTCACTCCGAGGGTGGCCAGGCTGGACTGGATGAGCCCGGGTGTCGGAGCCCATCCATGTCCTAAGGACAGGGACGGATGGCTCCCCACATGTGTCGAGCTCTGTGACGTGGCCACTTCTTCAAGGTGCAAGTGGCCATCAGTCCCACGTTTGCAGTGCCCTCGCACAGTCCCTCCTAGCAGCCCCACACAGGGCAGAGCCATGGTGGCTTCTGGTGGCCATGACTGCCCAGTGACCTCAGCCATGCATGGGTCTCCACCTGGGCCTTCTGCCCTCAACGAGGCTGCTCCCCGTCCACGTGCTCCAACACCTGCTGTACCTCATGCGTCCACGCACCCCACCACCTGCCATGTCTGGGACATGAGCCCACATGCCCCGCCACCCACCGCATCTTGTGCCTCTGGGATGTGCGTCTTACCTTCCTAGTTACGCTGTAAGATACCTTTTTTTGAGAGGTTTTTGCTATAGGGCGCCTACGCTCACCAGATAGAGACAGAAAGCAAGAAATCACTCCCCAGGGGGGATGGCCACGTCGCAATCCCTTCTCTTTTCTCCTCTCGGGGTCTTGGGCACACACGCACACACGTCCGGTGTGAGTTTTAAGCCACCGGGTCCGGGACGCGAACCGCGGTCGACTACATGGGAGTCCAGCTACACAGCCATTACGCTAACTGCTGGTCCCACGTTGTAAGGTACTTTAATTGCTTATAGAAAAGTGATTACGGTACCGATAGCTCACAACACAACAATCAGCCTTTCTGACTTCTCTCAGTTGTCAGCAAGTGCCTCACAGAGACAGAAGGGAGAAGGCGCTCCCGGAGGGTGTGGTCACGTGCAGGCCCACCTCCATCTCTCCGCCTGTCGGGATTTCGCACACGCAGACAGCTGGTGTGATTTCACACGCCTGGGCCGGGACTCGAACCACGTGCTTGGCCACATGGGCCTGCTCCCTTAACGACAGGCTGCAGGGCCAGCCCCAGTCACTTTCCAATCTGTTTCCAAAGGACGCCCAGTTCCGTCTGCCAGGAGTGACCTGGAGGGCTCCCGTACCCGCTCTGACGGCCTGCAGCTGCACCCCCCTCAGCCTATGTGGGGTCTGCAGCGCGACCGTACGGCAGCTCTCAGGTGCTGGGGCCGGTGGACGGATGCCCGCTGTGCGTCCGTCCAGGGGCCTGGCATGGGGTAAGCACGCGTTTTCTGCACAGGAAACCCAAGTGCAGCCTGGCGCCTGCACCCATGGCAGCGCTCACCGGCCTGGCCGTCACCACAGCGCTCTTCCAGAAGGCCAGGGCGGGAGCCGGGGCTGAGGTGCAGCCGCCGACCACAGCCGCCGACCACAGCCGCCTACCCAGCACCAGGCCCTCTCCACACTCCTGGCCAGACGCAAAACACCCAGCTCCAGGCGGCCCGTCCATGCCGTGGCACGGGTGGCCTCCCGGGCTGCGTCGGGAGCTGCTCTGTGCCGGCCGGAGCCCCTGGGTGTAGAGACAGGGCGAGGCCCCACTCACCTGGCCCCGATCTGGATGATGCAGCACCGCACGAAGCTCACGAAGAAGTCCAGGAGGCGGCTGCTGGTCTCATTCAGAGAGGAGCTCTGGGAAGTGGCCAGGAGGGGTTACGGTGTGGCCACAGCAGTGCCTCCTTTCCCCAGGCTCAGGCTTCCACAGGGACACGAGGTGCAGCGACAGGGCCGTCTCCAGCACAGGCGGGAGTTCGGACAGAGCGCATGGGTGCTGACTGCTGCCCGTGGCCGCCCGCTGCCCACCCCAGCTTGCAGCCCTGGGTCTGCATCCTGGAGTCCTCACAGAAGCAGAGGAGGTTCACCTGGCATCTCAGGGCACCGCCTGCTGGACACGAGTGCCCCACTAGGAATGCACGAGCTCTAAGCAGCGCCCCCATTCTCCCAAGGTGCCCTATGCCCAGGGTCCAGCGTGGGGTGTCTTCCAGATGGAAACTAAGGCAGGGGACATCCCTGGCAAATCCCCAGAGGCTGCAGAGGGGGCTGGGCTGGGGGAGGGCTGAGCGGGCGCACCAGCCTGCGGGTCACGGGCACCAGCACCCTCCGCCCGGGTCCGCCCATCTGGTGGCCCGCTCCTCCCGCCCTGCCCAGGCAGCTGTCCCACACAGGCGGACAAAGCCCCGGGGTGGGTCCCTCGTGGGGAAGCAGCCCCAAACCTGCTCGACAACGACGGCGTCCCTCAGTGCTCCCGCCTCCTGCAGGTGTGCCACGAACTGCTGCATGTAGGGCTGGAGGTCCACCAGGGTGCTGACCTGTGGGGCGTGGGTATGGGCACGGGCACAGGCACGGGCCAGCCAGAGCCACTGCTGTGGGCATGGGGTCACTGGGTGGGCCCTCCAGGGACACCGCCTCCCAGCGGGGATGCACCCCCTCCCGCCGAGGACACCCCGCCTCCCACTGGGCACGCCCACAACTCCCACAGGGGTCATCCCCACACCTCCC